GACTGAAATGTGCTTTTAACTGGCTTGGAATGGAAGATTTAAATACCAAGTATAGCAGTCTCAGAAATAGGGAATTGCAAAAGTGAAAAATATTTTAAACAGAAATAGTTAAAAATTTCAGATTGTGGACATTACTGAAACAGAGATTTCTAAGATAGGCTATCACTGATTAAAGAACTAATATATTTATCTTCAACTAAGGATGCCACTAAGTCTAGGTAAGACTGACTGTCTAGCCCCACACCAGATATTGGTTCAGCTTACTCACGTGTCACAGAGTTACAGGACACAGGATACTGACCATTAGTTTGTGAAGAGTTGAGGTTTTTGAACATAGACCAGTTTCCTCAAGTTGTTCCTTGCCTTTATATTTTCAAAGATGGAAGGATTCTGTACTGCTACTATATTAACAATGATATCTTCAACCCATGTATATAAAAATAGAGGCTTCCCAGGATTTTATTAATCATCTTTAAAGACAAAACTCGTGCCCATTGACTCAGTGGTTGCCAGTTCAATTCCCAGTCAGGACACATGCCCAGTTTGTGGGCCAGATCCCCAGCGGGGGGCATGCAGGAGGTGGCCAATTGATGTTCTCTCTCATTGATGTTTCTATCTCTCCTTACTTCTCCTTTCCTCTCTCTCTAAAATCAATAAAGAAAAAAAATCAACTTGTTCTACAGTAGTTTTCAATAAATAGCGTAGAGATGTTAAAGTAAAGTTAAAGGAACACAGTTCCCACTAAATCATCAGTTAGGGGATCAATGCAACAAATGGAATAATTCTTCATCTACAGTTTTAAAGTTACCTTCATATAGCTTTTCAGTTGGAATTCAGCATGTTTGAAATTCCCTGGGTGCATTTTTAGGTGAGGATTTCCTAAAGGCAAAGCCCAAACGACAGGCAACTGCCACAAAGTAGTTCAGAGATGTGAGCAGTTCCTCATCTCTTTAAGCCCGTTTCCTCTTTCCTGTAAAATGAAAATGCCGGGCCTTGTCCTGTTCTTTTATTTCACAGAGACCAGGAGTAACTGGTGCCTATAGGCTTTGGGCATCAACTGTCCTACTGGTCAGAGAAGGGGAGATCACAAACAGAGGAATGCCAAGGCAAGAGCCCATGACTTCAAAAGGCCCCAACAAGGACTCTGAAGTGGTTTTAAAGAGCTAGGCCTTTTAAAGAGGACCAGAATATTCAGGCACAGACCCAGCTGGAAGTGTAAAGGCGCTTGCTCATCACAAACTCATTTTCTAGCTCCTTAATCATAACTGGAAAGGAAGCCCTGGCACCCAAAAGGACACAGGAGGGAAATGGGGGGCTGACATTAGAGTGACTAAGTGTTCACTTGAACCTTCCTGAGCATCTGAGGTGGAAAAGCACCTCTGAAAAGGAAGAATGATGTACTATTCTTTCTTACTATTAGACACATTTAAAAATGATTTTAAAAATGTTTTAATTTTATTTATTATAATTCCTTTTGAATTAAGCATTAACTTTTCCTAAAGCCAGAGGTGTCAGTATCATCCCTTCATTAATTATACTTATTCTAAAAGTGGTTTTTGTTTGTTTGTTTGTTTGTTTTTTTATCCTCACCCGAGGACATTTTTTCCATTTTTTTGTTCAGGTAGAGTAGGAGGGAGAAAGAGGAAGAGAGAGAGAGAAACATCGATGTGAAAGGGACACATCGAGTGGCTGCCACCCGCACGACCAACCAGGGCAGGGGACAAACTGCAACCGAGGTACATGCCCTTAGTGGGAACCGAACCCCGGTCTCTCAGGACCGCAGGCCAATGCTCTAACCGCTGAGCCAAACCGGCCAGGGCTAAAAGTGTTTTTTAATGACAGACCCTCATCATCTTGTCCTCCTCGTCCAGATGCAGTGCTGTGCTTGCCTAGGCCTAGAGCACGCTGACATCTACGAAGTGGAACGGGAATGGAATCTTCAGTGTGAGCAAGAGCTTGTTTTATAGTCTCAGACCTTAGCAGTCACACTTGCCAGATCATTGCTTCAGATGAGTCTGCTCGGTAATGGGGTTGGTGTACATTACAATGTCAGGGAAGGGCTTCCAGAGATAAAATTCAGCGGAGAAAAATAAAATAAAGGGACTAATTAAGAACAGTAATAAACTGTTACTGTACACTCCCTCTAGTACCCAGGGGTCAAAAGGGGATTCTGGACTGATTCCTGTTAACACACAGGGCTTACACATATTACACCCTTCCCCTTATCCTCAACCCCAAAGACACTGACTCAGCATCTGGCCTGGAGCCAGAGAGGCATATTCTGAATTCAGAGTGTGCAACACTGTTCAGTGCAATTATGACATAATGGCTGCAAAGCTGTTCCTGAAAGCCAAGAAAACCTGAATAATGTGGTTGGGTTATATCATACATGAGGGCTTAATAGAGTTTAAAAACCAATTTGAAAATTTCTTCATTCCATAAAAATAGCATTAAGACGAGGGCAAAATCATTCTAGTTCAAGGAATGAGAACAAAGTGCATAAGGAATTATGCAGACTCCTTCCTGTATTACCCTTCTGAACCAAAAATGGCCCATTCCCTTTGAAGATATCTTTGCTACTTAACACTGCCTGGGAAAGAAGGCAATTCCCTTTAAACATCTTAGTCTTATTTGTACCCAGCTAGTAATGTCAGTTTCCTTGCTACTTACAAAGCACACAATTCCATTTCCAAAAACAACTATTTGTAATTCAGAATCTGTCCATTAAGTCAAAGTCTTCCATTCATCACTAACACTCCATTTCGGAATCATCTTGCCCAAGAGATGAAGTTATCCTCATGACCACAGAAGACCTGAAAGATGTTCCATTCATTTTTAGCCATTTTGTAGCAAGTGACTTTGGAACATTTGAATAACTAACTCTACCATTTCCTTGGACTTGTGATACCAACTGTACATAGGCCCATGAAGTACAGTGCTCTATCTGGATGTTGGAAACCATCCATTCTTGAGGCCAGGCCCTAGCAACCCTGTTACATGAATTATACAATCTTCTGAATCCTATTCTGTTACTTAACAACTAACACTGATGAAATATTTTGGAACTAGGAAATGACTTTGGAGATCCCTTTGCTTTATGGATAAAGAAATTAATGTTTAACCAAAGCCTTCCATACTGCATTGGTTTGTTAATTTCTCTATATTTTCTCCTTGAACAATCGCCTGTTTTTATGCATAACAAGACCAACATAGAATTTTAGGATTTTAAAAGGGATCTTCAAGTTCAAACCCTTCTTTAAAAACAAACAAACAAACAACTTTAGACACTAATCCTTAGAATATACCAATAACAGATACTACATTTATTTAGGCCTAATTTAATGATGGAGAGAATGAGGAAAATCTCAGCTTTGGATGGTGAAATTCTTTTACTATAAGAATAAGGTTCTGCCCAGCCAGTGTGGCTCAGCCAGTGTGGTTGACTGTTGACCCATGCACCAAGAGGTCACCAGTTTGATTCCTGGTCAGGGCACATGCCCAGGTTGTGGGTAAAATCCCCAGTGGGGGGCATGCAGGAGGCACCCAATCAATGTTCTCTCTTATCGATGTTTCTATCTCTCTTTCCCTCTCCCTTCCTCTCTAAAGTCAATAAAGAAAAAAAAAAAAAAAAGAATAAGGTTCTGATCTCTACATCTAAAAAATTCAGATTAACTTCATTTTTGAACCTGGAGAAACAAAGCTGAATTTAGATTTATTTTTTCAGTCTTATATTCTAAGCTGCCTACTGAATTTCTATTAAACGACAGTATTCTTTCTCTTCGTTGACTGGAAGAACTACATGTTTTAAGAAGTAAAGTTAAAAATCAAATAATTCAACCTCATGTTCTTCCTCCTGACTAAACTAGAAGCCACTTCCCCATTATTTCATGACTAATACGAAAAGTACAGGAACAATGAGAGGAAATTCATTTATTTCCAATAGTAACATTCTGATTTCTACTGCAATTTCACTGGCAAAAAAAGCAGCAGCAAATACCACATACCTGCCCAATTACAACACAAAAACTGTGGACTTTGAACTCCTTTGGAATGTTACCAAAGTACAAAAGATGATTGTGGCTTTTCTTCAATATTATTTGGGCCACCTAGCAGCCTTAAAATAGTGACCATACATAGATCCTCTATCCTTAAGGCAGGACCAAACCAAGATATGAGTGCCCTAGGTAAGCTAATAATTCAGTATATCTTCAAATAGATACTATTAAAATACTCACTCAGCAGGCGTTTGGGTGAGGCGTTGAGCATAGTGGGACTGGAGGGTGGGTAGACAGGGCTGGTGAAGCCTTTCAGTTTGCATATTCCATTCAAAACAACAAAGGTTCTAAAAGATCTCCCTGGAAGGCAGTTTGGTGACCATAACTATGGATTCTCAAATATGCCTTTCCCATTCCAGGCTGTTCACTAAAGCATTAATAACTGCACCTAGCAACCCCTTCAAAGTTTATTGTTTATTGTTTTATATTCTTTTCTCTACCTTGCTGCATTCCCAATGATGTTTTCACACTGTCTTTTTATTTCAGTAGCATATACTGAGTGTCTGCAATGTGCCAGGTACCAGAAATATAAACATGATTAGGATACTTTCCATACCCTTAAGGAACGCACACCTTGGGCAGGAAAAGGGCTTACAAACAAATAATACAATATCACAGTGATGAAGCCTGTATTAGCAAAATGGCTGTTACTAGATATTACTGGGGAAATGCTCTGAAATCCTTGGAAATGGATTACTGTCTTAAAATAAAAGGTATTTTGAGTTTTGCCTTTATCTCTGAAAACTTTATTTTGGGTAAAGATTGAAATAAAAAAGAGTAAGTGATGTTTTTATGCCTCCAGTTCCACATGGCTATAACTGGGATGGGGAGTTAGAGATATGAGAAACTTAACCCAAACTTTTTTTTTTTTTTTTTTGCACATTCTTCCTCAAATGATTTTGTCCCTTGAACATGCTAACTAGTGGAAGGGTGAAGGAAGCTCACCTAGTCCCTGCTGTCTGTGTATAGCTACATGTCTCTGGATCCAGATGGTTTCTCCCCTTCAAAATAATTTCAAACAAGATTAAAACTGTGTGCAGGAACTATTCCAGCTGGCCCTTGGCTTCCTCTGATGTACACTCCTTGAATAAAGCAGTGGCTAGATTAGATTTACAGTAAGGAACGTAAAAAACCTTACTACTTGTACCAACTCACCTCAAGGCCCTGCTAACATGAGAAACCTGGAGCCCTAGCATTAGAGTAACTGAATGCTTAAGCCAGTTGGAGTAAACACACATTATGAAATGCAAGAACTTTAATAATAAAAAGTCTTATTTTGAAGGCATATCTCCACATTGCCTCTGGGTACATAAGAGTACTATAGAGCCAGGCATCTGGAATAAAATAAAAATACAGTCCAATAAATTCCCAAGCTGGAAAAGCCTCATTTCTATTGACTTACCTGCAATCAATCCATCTAAATAAAACCAAATAGCCACATTTTCCTCTGGTGAAGGAGACAAAAAATATTGATCCTTCCTTGGCAGGAGGCTACTACCAACCACAGCAAGTATGAAGAAAGAAAATCTGGGGTGCCTACCTATCTAAAGTACCAGCCCCACCAATCTTTATTTTCATGACAGAACCAATTTTAATTTTCATGACAGATTCCAGGAGATTCCTGAGCAGAAAAGGACCCAGGATATTAAGCTATGGCACTTCACACAGAACCATGATTCTACCTTACTCCAATATTACTATAATCATTCACTATTTCCAGGGTATACCTCTTTTTTTTTTCAATGTATACAGCTTCAAATATTGGTAGAGAGCTTCATATGCCTTTCCATAAGCTATTCCTCAGATGATTACTGAACAAGAAGAATGTGGGCGCTAAGAGGCCCCTCATATGCAGTGCCATGCACACTGAGACATGGCTCTAGTGGCTGTGTACTTATAGGAGCCCTGCTTATGTGGTGAGGAAACGCACTCGAAAGGATTGGGATAGAACACATCTTAGACACTATCCCTGTCCCTGAGGAGCTGAAAATCTTGGGGTCAAGCTGAGCCATGCTGTGGATTTTTTTTTTTTTTAAGTGCTCTAAAATATAAAGCACTACACAGAGCCATCTATTAAGAAATGAGAATAAAGATCACCCGGGCCAAAATCTCCTTGTTAAAAACAGCCTTAGAAACAGGCATTTGCCTTCCATTTTAGTAATAATGTAGCTGGGACTTTTCTACGTCAGGGCTTATTAAAAAATTGTATGAGCTGATAATTGTCAGGGGTAGCTGACAAGGCTAAGTGTTGAGAATTTTATAGTCTCCAATTTATTCTCACATTGTTTGGCTCCCAGAAGGCTGCTTTTGCCCAATAAAGCAGAGAGGAGGTCCAGAGTATTGTTCTCACATTGTTCCCTACAGCATCTTTCAACCTTCCTACCTCCAATTAAAGGTCAACATGGCCTCTCAAAAATATTTATTAAAAAAGAAAAGTCATCTCAGCGGCCTGCCCATTAAGATTATACTCCCACTTCATAGACGTTAATTAAACTGAGGACGGGGCATCTGTGAATCACTAGTATGTAGCTGAAATGTTTCCGCTTCTGTCTAAAAGCTGCCTTTCCCGCCCATTACTTTGTTCACTTCCCAGAGCGCCTTCGCGCACGCGCGCGCGCACACACACACACACACACACACACACACACACACGCACACACACACACACACACACACACACACACACACAAGCACACACACACACACACACACACTCACTCTCTCCCCTCACCCCTCCGCAGGTTCATGGATTTATGGCTCCCGATTTAAAGTCCGTCTTACGACAATGGAAATTGGCTGCGTGCGGCACAGCAGGAACTTTTTTGCGTCCCTCTTCCGCCCGCCTTCCGGCTCTGTGCAGGGGTCCGAGAGAGCCCACCTGCCGGTGCCGGGTCACTGACACCCACCTGAGCCTCCCGCCTGGTGTGCCGCCGCTTCCGCCCTGCGCTCCGCACTTCCGCCCGAGGCCTCGCAGCGCCGACCCCGTGCCCCGCACTTCCGCCTGGCCCGCAGTCCCTCGGGCAGGTGCCAGTGGATCTCAGATCTTAGCAGATCGCCACTCGGAAGGCTGGACGCTGCTGGGCCATTACGCGTGAAAAGAGACAGAAAAAACAAGGCCAAACTGTTTTTTTAAAAAAAGGCAGGGTGGGTGGAGGCATGAAAAAGTGACCCGCAGTGTTTGGGGACTATTTAATAACAAGCCTCAGGTGTGCTAGCCAACTTTTTGAGAATGGGCAGTCCATTCCATTTTATCCTCTGTCCTGCATGCATACATTCATTCATTCATTCACTCATTCACTCTTTCAATGTTTACTGTCCTCTGGGTCTCCGCTGAGCTATGTTATGAGGAACACGGTTTTGAATGAAACTGGCAGGTGTATCTTCAGCAAACTCAAAATTGTGTAGGCAAGTCAGACCTTAGAAAATAATCCTTTAAGTAGGCCATGTGTTCACTGAGCTTAGTGCTTTGAAAGGGGAGGAATACGGACCTATGAACGAATATGAATGTGATGTAAAGAGGTAGCTTCTGGGCTAGGATGCTCTGTGCCCAGTTGGGTAGGGCCAGAGCTCTCCGGGCATAGGAAAGGCTATAACTGGAGGGAGTCTGCCATCCACAGAAGACTTACTAGTATGGCAGCAGCACAAAGAGAGTGGAAAAGAAGTGGAAACAGGCTAAAGAGGGTAGGAAGGAATCAGGTTTACAGGGCCTTTCAAGTTTTTGCTAAAGGTAGCTGGAGACATTTTTGTTTTATTCTGCTTATGTTTGTATGTGGGAAGGGAGTTGAACTAATTGCCTTTCCACTCTGAAGGGATCACTCAACTTCGAGAGGGAGATGAGGTGTTGGGGTAGGTGAGAGCAGAGTACAAGCAGGGAAGGCAGGAGATGGCTCAGTAGTCCAGGTGTGGTGGCTTGAATGGTGGTATTATAAATAGTGAGACAATGATGAAAACTAAAAGTAATCAAAGTAAACATTTACTGGTTGCTCACCAACAGCTTTACACTCATGAACTTGTTTAATCCAGAGAACAATCCTAGTAAGTATTCCTAGTACCATTTTACAAATGAAGAAATGCCCTGGTTCTCATAGTTAGAAAATACCAGAGTTGGGATTCCATCCAATGCTGTCTGATGCCAGTGTCCATGAGTTGACCACTATGCACTCAATATGTTTTCAGTGATTTTAAAAAAGGGACACAAAACAAACCAAGGTCAGAAATGAATCCCCTAAACAAACCACATTGTTTATGTGACATTGTTAGAGGACACATCTAAAAAGTAGAGTTTTCACATTCTTACTTTATCACTTCAGCATTTGCTGATAGCAAGAGGGGATTTCATAACTGAACAGACTACCTGTGATTATTTTTGAGTTGATATGCTCTGATAAGACCTAATCTTTCTGGGGTGGGGGGAGGGAGAAGTCAGCTAAGTACACTCCTAACAGTTGCTGATATAATATCTTTTTAATTTATTTTTAATTAATTAATTAATTTATTATTGTTACAGATGTTTCTCCCTTTCCCCCCACTGATTCCCCCCTCTCTCTCCCTCCCTGCCCTGTCCCCAGTTTTGTTGTCCATGTCCATTGTTATGCATACATGCATATAAGTTCTGTGGTTTATCTTCCCCCACCACCACCTCTTCTGGGGATTGTCAGTCTGTACTCCGCTTCCACATCTCTGGGACTACCCCATTCCTCGGACTGTTATGTTCATTATATTCCACAAATAAGTGAGATCATATGGTACTTGACTTTCTCTGTTTGGCTTGTTTCACTTAGGATAATACTTTCCAGGTCCCTCCATGTCGTCTCAAAGGATAAGAGATCTTTCTTTCTAACAGCTGCATAGTACTCCATTGTGTATATGTACCACGGCTTTTTTATCCATTATCTACTGATGGACATTTGGGCTGTTTCCAAATTTAGCTACTATAAATAGTGCTGCTACAAACATGGGGGTGCACATATTCTTTGTGATTGGTGTTTCAGGCTTCTTAGGGTATATTCCTAGAAGTGGGATCACTGGGTCAAATGGAAGTTCAATTTTTAATTTTTTGAGGTAACACCATATTGTTTTCCATAGTGGCTGCACCAGTCTGCATTCCCACCAGCAGTGTACTAGAGACCCCTTTTCTCCACACCCTCGCCAACACTTGTTTGATGATTTGTTGATGGCAGCCATTCGGACAGATGTGAGGTGATATCTCATTGTTGTTTTAATTTGCATCGCTCTGATGACTAGTGATGTTGAAAATGTCTTCATATGTCTCTTGGCCATTTGTATGTCCTGTTTGGAGAGGTGTTTATTTAGTTCCTCTGCCTTTTTTTATTTTTTTAATCCTCACCCGAGGACAGGGAAGGGGAGAGAGAGAGAGAGAAAAAAAAAAACATCGATGTGAAAGGGACACATCGAGTGGTCGCCACCCACACGACCCAACCAGGGCCGGCGACAAACTGCAAGTGAGGTACGTGCCCTTAGTGGGAACCGAACCCGGGTCTCTCCAGACCACAGGCTGATGCTCTAATCACTGAGCAAAACCGGCCAGGGCCCTCTGTCCATTTTTTAATTGGGTTCTTTGTTTTCCTTTTGTTGAGTTGTATGAGCACTCTATATATATTGGAAATTAATCCCTTATCTGATATATCATTGGCAATTATGCTCTCCCATACAGTGGGTTGCCTTTTCATTTTGATGATTGTATCTTTTGCTGTGCAGAAGCTTTTGAGTTTGATGTAGTACCATGTGTTCATTTTCTTCTTTGTTTCTGTTGCCTTAGGTGATGTATCAGTGAAAATTCTGCTGCGTATGTCTGAAATTTTGTTGCCTACAGTTTCTTCTAGGATTTTTTATAGATTTAGGAGTCACATTTAACTCTTTTATCCATTTTGATTTTATTCTTGTGTATGGTGTAAGTTGATGGTCTAGTTTCATTATTTTTTGCATGTAGCTGTCCAATTTTCCCAGCACCATTTAAGAGGCTTCTTTACTCCA